GTATGTTACATGAGTGTGTGCACGTCCGTGTATGTTTACATGAGTGTGTGCACGTCTGTGTATGTTTACATGAGTGTGTGCATGTCCGTGTATGTTTACATGAGTGTGGAGCCAGAAGTGAGTGTAGACAACAACCTTAACTGCTCTCCATTGCTCACTGGACTTGACACCAGCTCACCAGTACTGATAGGCTAGCTCCGGGGAACCTTCTGTCTCTTCCTTCCCAGCGCTTGTGATTCTGAACACATGACATGTGCAGCTTTTGTGCTGGGGATCCAAACTCAGGTCCTCAAGCTTTCTCTTTACTTTTATTAGCTGAGCCAGACCTACAGACCCTGGCAGCGTCTTTTTTAGGAATCCAAAGCCCTCCAGGGGTGGCTGTGTATACTTGTAATCCCAGCACCCAGGAGCTGGGAAGCAAGAGAATTGAGAGTTGGGAGACCAGCCTAGCCTACATATCAAGATCCTGTCTTAAAGAGAAAGTGGGTAGTGGAGCGTCCTAAAGGCCAAAGTCACCCTCTCGCTCTAAAAGAGGGGACAGAGCACCAGAGGGGCTCAGTTCCCTGTGCCATCTGACTAGGAAGCCTGTGTTTCTCTGAGCAATTGGTTCTGTTTGCATCTCTTCTTACTTGGTTCTTATAGCACACACGCACAGGTGCGCGAGCGCACACACACACACACACACAGGAATGCACACACACCAGCATATGCACACACACACACAGGAATGCACACACACCAGCATATGCACACACACACACAGGAATGCACACACCAGCACATTGCACCCCACATTGCTTCTCTTGGCAATTGGAATGAGCACACTTGAGCTGTCCTCTTGACGGTGATGAGGGAAGTTGGTTATACTCTCCGTGCTTCAGTCATGTCCCCCCAACCATGAGGACTGTAATGTGACAGTTGTCAAAGAGGCTTATGTGAGTTTTTAAAAACAGTCACAAGCCCATCTTCCTATATAAGTTATGCTTCACAATATATGAATACGTCTACTCCTGGGTTTCAGCTTTTGGAAGTCTTAAATACGGATGAAGCAAACAATTTGACCACACTCCTCGCCTTCCCTGGTGGTGACCATGACAGGAAGTTGCTGTCTGCCTGGATTGTTCAGTAGTCACATTTGCTTATAGGCTCTCAAATCACACATGTACTTTTGTACAATCATGTGATAAGGTCTTTTCTGCGGCTTGCTTTCTTCTCATGGTAGCAGATATGGGAGATATTTCCGCCTCAGTACTGCGTCAGTTTCGTCAAGTGGGCCCTGTCAAGACTGGGTGGTTTCCAGTAAAGTTCTGTCAGAACCCGCCCTGCAGGAATGGCCCAGGGCTCTCCACTCCAGCACTGTGCTGGCATTTCTGTAGGACAGACATAGTCCACAAGCTCTTCTTTTACGCTGTTCAACACGTGGCGGCCCCAGCTTTTTCCATTCAGCCCTTGTCTGATGACGGCCTTACCATGGTGAGGCTCTCCCAGAGAGCCTCAGCCTCACCTCTGAGCCATGTTTGAGGGAGGAGCAAACGACAGATATGTTTGATTCCCAGTGTAGCAGGCTCAGGCTAGCTATGTGGCTAGAGTCTGTGTTGATCAGTGTCTGTCAACCTGTGGGTCTTGACCCCTTTGGGAGGGCTGAACAACCGTTTCACAGGGGTTGCATATCATTAAGAGTGGCAACATTAGTTATGAAGTAGCAATTAAATAACTTTATGGTTGGGGGTCACTACAGCATGAGGAACTGTATTAAAGGGTTGCAGCATCAAGAAGGTTGAGAACCGCTGGTGTAGATGCAGTCCTACCGATTGGGGGAACTAGGACAGGGTCCCCCCCATAAACACAAACCCACTCTGCCCCAGGTCCACCAGGACAGGGGTATGATTGGGTTCCAGCACTAGATATGTGGCCAGTTCCTCTCTAAGAGGAACAAGACAAGCCAGTTCCTCTCTAAGACCCCTGACCTGAACAGTGACAATGCTCACCTGTCAGCGTACACCGGGACCGTGAGATAACATGTTAGCACACACAAGGACCGTCATATACTCGATAGATTACTCATTTTTAGCCCTGCACTGCCTCTGACCATCCCACCCCCTCCTGCAGTCCTGTGTTCAGTTGACCCCTAACTGAACTTTCCAGGTGTCAACAGTTGACCTTAGTTTGCAACTAGTGTGTTAACTGTAAACATGGTAGCCTGCTGCCAGCTCAGAAGGCTGGCAATGCTTTGGTCACCGTGGAGATGCTAGCTGGTTACTTTCCCCCTTGTAATGAATGCTTGCAATGGGACTTTTAAAAACCATTTTACATTTATTTGTGTGTGTGTGTGTGTGCTTGTGCACAGGCATGTCACAATGTGAGTGTGGAGATTAGAGGACAATTAGAGTCATTTCTCTCCACTGTGTGGGTTCTAAGAATCAAATTCAGGCCACCAGGCTTGACAGCAAGTACCCTCATCTGCCGAGACATCTTGCTGCCCTTATGATGGAATTCTGATGATATTTGTTGCCCTCATTAAACTGTCAGGCACAAATTAGTAAAAAGCTTCCAACTGGCTCTCGGGAATGAACGAGGCTGCGGCAGTGGATGGTACCCCTTTGGGGCAGGCCACCCCAGCTAGCACCGTCGGGATGAGCATCCAGGGCCAGGGTCATCATTGTACTCTTTCCTACAGCCAGCTAGCTGGCTGTTCTGGAGGCCACTGGGTGGGTGTTCCTTGAAGGGGCACCCCCAAACCGGACCAGGTTTGAGCTTCTAGGTTGAAAGATTCTGTTTCATGGGCTCACCCAGGGGTGACCAGGCTCTGGGAAATCAACCAAGCACTGCTGATTGATAAGCCAGCTCAGCGATTTATTAACTTCTGCTTGGCAGCTGTGCCTGCTAAACAGCCCGCAGCATTTGAGCTCTCCCCCGCCACCCCTGCTTGCCTGTTCTCTTTGCAGAGGAAATTTCACTTAGGAAGCCAAGTCTCATTCTGCCAAGTAGAACGGAGTAAAACCATAGCAGATAATAATGGTAGTCGAGGCCTCTGTACAGTCAGCGGTGGTATGACCCTTGTTGACTAAGTTGATTCCTGAAACCTGGAGCAAGGACTCAAACCTCAGCCTTCCAGCTCCAGTCTGTGTTGGAGGGGGAAGGGGCTTGCCCTTAATGCTGCCATGCTCTGGGGGACCCGATCCTTGCACAAAGGGCCCCCTCAACCCTTACCACAGCTCCCCATTTTCCTTTTGTTAAAGCTGGGCAGAGTCCCCTCAGAATGCCTCTGCCTCCCTGATGTGCTGTGGGAGCCGCCCGAGTCTCATTAGCAGCGTCTGCCTAGTCTCAGGGGGATGCTTCTCCTTCAGACACAGCAGTGGAACCCCAGCAACAGCTACCGTTCATTAGGCGCCACTGCCGGCTGTGGGCCAGGTGTCTTGCACACAGGATGGTTATTGCAGTCTAACAACAGCCCCATGAGGCAAGCGCCCTCATCTCCCTTCACAGCTAGGATTTCACAGGCCACGAGGAGGTTCGGTGTCTTGTTCATTCTCCCAGCTGAGTGATTGTCAGGACAGTCTGGTGACTTTCAGGACTGAGCTCAGTCACCCTCCTCCACTACACCTTCAAGGAGACCCACCTCGTGTACCACGTACTGGAGTTGCTGGAGTCTCTGATCCCTGTGTTTTGTGGCATTAGTATGGAGGACAAGGATCCTCCCAGGGTTTGCTGTAGGCTACATCTAAAACCACTCCAAGGAGTGTGGGTCCTGGGAGGGAGTTCTTGGATGGGGTGAAGGAAAGGGATTGGGACATATAACTTCCTCTTGAACAAGGAAGAGTTCTCACTCCCCAGCCCTTATTAAAGCAAGGACCAGCTTTCACGTAATTATCTCCAAGTTCTCCCCCACATCATTAAGCAGTGAACCCTGCTAAAGCACACAGATTTGAGTCCCTGATGGCTTCCAACTCTTCATCCCTGGCTTGCATTTGTTACCCAGTGTGTGTGTGTGTGTGTGTGTGTGTGTAGAGAGAGAGAGAGAGAGAGAGAGAGAGAGAGAGAGAGAGAGAGAGAGAGAGAGAACGCCCTCCACATACAAATGATGATAGAGCTATACAGGACATGAATGAGTCTAAAGAAATCTCAACCGTGTGGATTCAGTTCTTCCCCTTTTAGAAACTGGAAGACTTTGGGGCCCCATCCTCCAAAAGATGTCCCTACCTGCCTGATTTCACATGATGATTGCAAGGGGTTTCTGCTGCCAAGATTGAACGAAGAGGAAAGCTTTAAGGGAGGGGCAGAGTCTCTGGGGGCAGTGGGGGGGGCTGGCAGGGGTGACTGGGGACAGAGAGGAGCTGTGGCTAAGGCAGTCTGTACAGAATCATGTTAGGCCCAGAAGGTTCCCCTGGGAGAGCAGAAGATGCATTTATCCTGGGTGCCGCGGAGAGCAACAGAGCGTAATGGTTGTGTGTGGGTACTGGAGCCAGACTGCTCAAATCCCGCGTTTTCCATTTCCCTGCATGAGTAAACTTAGATAAACACTTAACATCTCTGGCTTCGGTTTCCTCTGGTGAGGGCAATTGTCCTGGAAGGAGCTGATGTCCATAAAGTATATAATAAACCCCCAGAGCATCTAAGTATCCTGGGACAGCAGCATGAAGACTCTCACTAGAACGCTCCCTGCTTCAGGAAGCCCTCCCTAAATGCCACACTCACCCAGGACTGAGGCTACCCCTCAGTACTGCCAGAAGACACTTTGCATTACGGTGGGGTTACCCTCATCTCACTAACAACACCCTGCCACTCCCAGATTTCTGCTCAGGGACCCTGCCTGTCTGCTGCTGCCTGGAACAGAGTAAGCTCAGTAAATAGGTGCTGGATATGATTAGGGGTGGAAGGTGTTGGGAAAATTCCAAGCTCTGGGCTGTCACTCAACCACCAGATAATACAAACAGAAGCTTAGCCCCCTTAGAGTAAGCACTGATTGAACATCTGACTTCTTGTTCTTTCCTTCCTTCCAGTTCCTGGCTTTAGATACCCAGTTGCTAATGGGTAACCGTCGCCACTCACTGAGTCCCGAAGAGTATGTTTTTGGAGCCCTCAACATTTACTTAGACATTATCTATATCTTCACCTTCTTTCTGAGCCTTTTTGGAACCAACCGAGAATGAGGAGCCCTCCCCATCCCCAGCCCCCTCCAGAGAATGTCCCTTCCGTGTCCTGTTACCCCGTCTGTGCTCCAGCAAGTCCAGACATAAACTTGCTGCAGCCAGCTTGCGAGCAGCCGCTCTCTCCTGCAGCCAGCCCTCGCCTTACCTTCTGCAGCTTGTACAAACGCCATCCTTGGAGCCCTACAGATCTGAGGCCACACCATCCCCTGTGGTGCCCCTGGCACCCAATTACATCTTCCAAACGGGACAGTCAAGGCTGAGGGCATCTCTGGATTTGCAGACCCAGCGAGTGAGTAGGAGGAAGCCCCTCAGAGGTGGGAAGGAGACCCCAGAAAACCTAGCTGAGACTGCGACCCCCACCGAGTCTTCTAGGGCTTCATTTTCTCTTTCAGATTGAGCAACCACACTTTGTAAAGAAAGAGGCTGAGGGGACACGGCTGGACCATGAGGACAGGGCACTGTGGTGTGGGGGTAAAGCTGACCCAGGCTGTCCTTCCCACAGCTCTTAGGGCTAGTAGCTAGTTAGGGACCTGGGCAGTATAAAGGGGGTAGGAACGCTTCCACGACTCAGCTTAGTTTACCCTCCTAGGTCATAGGACAGGGGGATGCCCCTAAGTGTGGGCCTGTCCTGAGCTCCCAGGCAGGGGAAGGCAAGCTGGGAGGACTAAACAGGGGGGCAGTGGTCCACCAGACTGCATGCACTGAGAAGGCAGGACTAACCCCCGTCTCTCTTTCCACCCTGTGCTGTCCCCGCAGACCTGAGGGGGAAGTGAGGCCAGGAGGCCGGGTGGAAGCTCCTGGACCAGGGGCTGCCTTTACTCCTTCCACAGTTTCCTAACCCTTCCTCTGTCTTCTGCTACATCCTGTCTTACCTCCAGCAGGGCGTCCTGAGGCCCTAGGAGTTGAGGCCCCCACATCCCTTGCCCAGCTTTCCAGGCCACTCAGCCCAGAGTCCCTGGCCCCCTTATCTCCTCCACATCTTTGTAATCTGGAAGCTGCCCAGCTCATGGTCACAGCCAGGGCCAATCCCTTGAGCCTGTCCCATGTGATGAGGCCAGGGATCTCAGGCGGAGACTGCGTCAGCCACCCTGTCCTGGCTGAGTGCCTGCTGGAGAGGGGACCAGGGGGCCACACCTGGGGCAGCATGCAGCCCACATGTACATGGCCAGCTCTAGGCCAGTGGAAAGTTACTGGGTGGAGACTAGGAGGCTCTGTTTGCCCCCAGGAGAGGGGACTGGGTAGCCTAGCCATTCCTGTCCCTCCCCACCCTTTCTACTTGCAGCCTTCAAGAAATATGACAGAGGCATTTGAGATTTTTCTCTATCTTGGATATTTGAGAAAGGAAGAAACTAAGAACTGGGGTGGGGGTAGTGTGAGGGGTAGTTGGGGTGAGTGATGGTCTAAATGAGCCCACTGCCGCAGTCCAGAAAGGGGGGGTCTTGCAATGGTGATCATCACTTCCCCATTGCAGAGGCAAAGCCAAGTGATGACAAGTCCATTGTCATCTAGTAAACCCGGGGGTCAGCCCGCAGCTGCTTGTTTCAGGAGCCCTCCAGTCTGAGTCTGGGCTGCACTGAGGCTTGTGTGCCCCATAGATGTTGGTGATCAAACCCTGGCATCTCTGGGGGGTTTGTTATTCCCACCACCACCCCCTGCCCCACCCCATGTCACCCAGCCCGGCGTTCCAAGATGCTGAACTGAGGTTTTCACTCCCTGGAAGTCAGCTGCCAGGCAGGGCCCCTGGCTTCTGATCTGGCCTTGCCACCCACAGACGTGTGTTTTGTCTGTGACTCTGTTTCCATATCTGCAAGATGAGCGTCTCCAGTCAGTGTCAATGCAGGGCCAGAGAGGCATCAGTCACTTCCACTGGGGTGCCTCTCCTAATTCTCTCACTTCAGTTCTAGAAAGGCTTCAAGTCCCTTCCCGCTGACCTGCCACCCTCACGGCCAGTTTCCCAGAACCCACTTGTCCAGGTCCTCCTCTTCTGAGATAATCTGTGCAGAGACTAAGGATTGAGAAATTTTTCCAAGACTAAATTCCAAAAATCGGGGGGAGGGGCAAGCCCCGGGCCATAAATAAAGTGACCGGGAGACTAATCACAGTTATCTCAAAGATGGCTTGGCTTGGCGGTGGGGAGCCTGCCACGGGGTTTGCTTCAGTCTGCCACCCCGCCTGCAGCTAAACTGGCAGTGGAGCCAGAGAAAGCCTGGGTGTCGACCCCTGATAGAGCAGTGAAGAGTCCCGGGACACCTGGGTGGGTCTTGGCAGGAGGAAGGGTGGGAACAGGAACGCAGGACTATGAGGAATGCGGGATTATGAGAAACAGAAGCTGGGCAGGTGCGGCAAGCTGTGGAGGAGGAAGGACTCCCGCTGGTCCCTCACATTTTTCGCTCGGGTGGGGCCGGACCCACGACGGGGAAGGTTGAATTTCATAAGGCTAGAGGGAGCCAGGAATCCATCAATGACGAGAGTGCGCAAAGTCCTCCAGGGCAGCGTGACAGACAAGGAGGTCCTGGGAAGGAGTAGCCACATGAAATCCCTCACTCCCCATATCAATTCTAGGATCCGTGTAAAGCTCTTTCGGTGTAGCCTGAGGAAGACACAAGATTAAAAATCTTGGTTCTTCCATCCCATACCCTTCTCCTGTGGGAATTAGGGTCCCTCAAGCACCCTTATTTCAAAAGATTGAGAAGGGGGGGGTCAAGTTGGGAATTTTACACAAGGACCATGCTGCCCCCTTCTGGCTGTTAGAGAGAAAGCAGAGTCTGACTTTTCAGGGAGGGATTCTGTCCCTGGTGGCAGTGCAGAGGGGCAGGATTTGTGGCCCCTGCCCAGAGTGTTGTCAGAGGACAGAGACCCATCTGCCACACACCCAGACAGTGCTGCCCTTTTGGCCTCAGCTCCCACAAGCTCCCCAGGGTCCCGCCCGTGTGTCCTTCTCTGACCTCGGCCACTGAGAACCTGTGACTGATTGGAAATAAGAATAAAAGCATTTACTAAGACACCTGAACTGTTTGCTTGTGGCCTCAGCCGGCTTTGTAGAGCGTGTGACGTGTCACTGGGCAGTGGGATGTGGCTTTCATGCAGAAGCTCCCTATGGTTCCCATCTTTGTTTTCATGGGGAAAGATGAGGATTCCTCCTGCTCAGTACACCCTTTCCTGGGAGCCTTCTGCAAACTGACCCACCTTGCGTGGTCCCGTGGGAACCTGTCCTTTTCCAGCCCTTCTGGTAGAGTAGTCGTCCTTATTTTGAGCAAGTGTTTCCTTTAAATGGAGTATCGGGACGCCCCCAAAGCAGCAGCTTTGAACCTATAAAACGTAGGCTGAGCAGGGGCTGACTTGTGCACCTCAGAGCCACACAGCTCTAGGCAGAACATGGTTTGAGAGCTGGGAGGGATGGATCTATGCCACCCTCTTATTTTACATAAGAGGAAACTTAGGAAGAAAAGTTTCCGTGATGGCCCAAGCTTATGAACAAATTAGCAACTAGAAATGGGATCAGAAGGCAAATCAGTTCATGATTATGTTGAAAGGTTTCCATGAGTGATGGATAGTGAGAGGAGGGAACCTCAACTGAGAAAATCCGGGCTGTAGGCAAGCCTGTAGGGCAGTTTCTTAACGATTTATGGGGGAGGGCCCAGGCCATTGTGGGTAGGGACATTCCTGGGATGGTGGTCCTGGGTTCTGGAAAGCAGGCTGAGCAAGCCAGTAAGCCGCACTCCTCTGTGGCCTCTGCATCAGCTCCTGTCTCCAGGTTCCTGCCCTGCTTGAGTTCCCGTCCTGACGTCCTTTGATGACGAACAGTGACGTGGAAGTGTAAGCTGAAGAAGCCCTCTCCTCCCCAACTTCATGGTGTTTCATCACAGCAATGGTAACCCTCACTAAACATGATCACCCTGCAGGGGGGATGTTATGCTTTTTTTTCTAACAAGATTTTAACAAGTTCATTTGGGATCAGGAAAGAAGCTATAGCAGGAGTTGGGGATGGTGAAGAGAATGTAAGTAGCTCTCATTAAGCAACAGTATATTCAAGGTATGCCATGGCCTCGAAGAAGCCCAATGACCACATGGCCTCGAAGAAGCCCAATGACCACATGGCCTCAAGTCCTGAAAAACACAACTCCCTCCCTCCCTCCCTCCCTCCCTCCCTGTTTTTTGTTTGTTTTATTTGAGAAAGAGTCTTACCACTTAGTCCAGGCTGGCCTTGACCTCACAGTCTTACTCCCCTGAGCCAGGATATTTTATATGCGTGTACCACCCACCTGGCTTGTAATGTTCATTCATGAACCCCAGAAAGAAGCAGTGCTGAGGTACAGTACAGGGGGCCAGGAGACCTCCACTCAGGCCTCTGGAGCAGGAATGGGGCCTCTGATAGCAGGAATGGGTAGGGAAAGGGAACACTGGCCTGAACACAGACCACAGCCCTTCAGCTCATCCCCAGACTGTCTTTGGTACTTTGCTGAGACTGCTATAACACGCGATCATGAACTGGGAAGCTAAAAACAACAGACACACTCCATTCCACCACAGTTGTGGAGGCCCAAGACATGCCCGTTCTCTTGGGAGCAATGACAGCTGCTAGTTTTCTTTAATGCCCTTTGGTACCTTCCAGTCTCTGCCTGCTTCATCACATGGATTCTTCCATGCCTCTCCTCCTCCTTCCTTTAATGAGCAAGATTGTGTCTAGACCTATAACCTGCTGCACATCCAGGATGACAGGCTCAGTACCAGATCCTTAGTCTAGAAAAAGATTAATTTCCACGAGGCCCCATTCACACATATGGAGGTGAGGGATCTTAGGAGTTGGCCATACCAAGTAGGCCACTGTCCAACCCACTACACAATCCACTCCCTCTAGAGGCAGCTGCTGATTCCACACAACCCTCCCCTATGACTGAGAGAGCCTTCATTCCCGCTGCCAGGCCTCCAGTGAAGCTGGGCAAATTCCACAGCCTGGCCCAGCTCACATACACCATCCGTCTCTACTCAAATGTGTCTACTCACAGAAAACCTGTTTGCTGACGCCCAGACTATGCCCTCCTACGCCCCACAGACAGCTCACAACCCCAGATCTCTCCATTCTCTTTTCTGGGAAAAACTCTTCCAAAAGAAGCCAGCCCACCCATCCCTTACTATAATACCCCTAGTGCCTTTTGTTAGCTTCCCTTTATTGCTTGAATCATTATGTAAGTAACCCAAGTGCCCTGGGCTACCATGCTGGAGAGACCATGGCCAGGTACTCGTCCAGGAGTGGCAGCTCAGCCCTCCTGCCGCGCCTACCAAGGTGGCAGCCACATGAGGAAGAAGCCGACTTGGAAGCAGCCACTCTAACTTCAGCTTCTCCTGGCCTCAAGCATTGAGTCTTCCAGGTTGAGGTCCAAGATGCCATGGCGCATGGACAAATCTGTGTCCTGTCCAGATTCCTAATCCACAGACCCTATGAGCACAGCTAAATGGCATGGTTTGGGGCCACTGAGTCTGAAGTCATTTGCCAGGCAGCAGGATGGCAAATGGTGTATGAGGGACACTAAAATGTGTCTTCCTAGTTCAGACTGAGAGCAATCTTTCTCAAATCAACCCGGAAGAGAGCTGATTTAGATGTAATTCTAGGCCTCGGCCTGAGGCTGGCGCTGCAATGGAATGGGATCTGGGGAGGTCTTGGTAGCAGATGAGTGTATTTTGCTGGAGCTGGAGATTAAACGAGCGTTTAAAACAATGGCTCCAAATTCTTTGCTCAGTGGAATGTGCTGGAAGTGATATGTGTAAGTCTCAAGAGGCCTCTGGCCCATCAGTTTTAGCAGAAATTCTAAGCAAACTCTGACTGTCCCGCCTTGGTTCATAAGTTTTCCCTTGAGCAAGTCATCGTGGCACCGGGGCAGAAGGTGCTGCTTCGATTGGTTGTGAGTTTTATATTTTCCCCCAGCAACCATGAAGAACATGGTCGTGCAGGCCTGAAGCTGTAGACCCTGGGAGCTCACTGAAGCCTGAAGCTGTAGACCCTGGGAGCTCACTGAAGCCTGAAGCTGTAGACCCTGGGAGCTCACTGGCTGGCCATGCTAGCAGAAATAGTAAGCTTCCAGTTCAATGAGAAATCTTGTCTCAAGGAAATCAGGTAGAAAGATACAGAGTAGTGGTTCTCAACCTGTGGGTCTTGACCCCTTTGGGGGGGTCACTATCAGATAACCTGTATATTAGCTATTTACATTATGATTCATCAAAATTACAGTTATGAAGTAGCAATGAAATAACTTTATGGTTGGGAGTCACCACAACATGAAGAACTGTATTAAAGAGTCGCAGTGTTAGGAAGGTTTAGAGTCACTGATGTAGAAGATGGTATCCAATGTCCTGCTTTGGCCTACATATGTGTGTGTTACCTGTGCATTCATGTGCGTGTACCATATCACTCACACACACACACACACACACACACGCACACACACACGGGGATGGCTAGCTGCCCAGTGTAGTTGGAGCACATTGGATGTGGAAGGGAGTGGGGAGTGAAAACCTAGACGTACAGAAGAGACATGCTATGGAGAACCTGCCATGCCTGCAAGGAAGGGAGCTCAATTCTGCCGACAGAAGACACATCAAAAGTGTGTATGAGGGCTGGAGAGGTGGCTCAGAAGTTAAGAGCACTGACTGCTCTTCCAGAGGTCCTGAGTTCAATTCCCAGTAACCACATGGTCCCTCACAACAATCCGTAATGAGATCTGGCGCCCTCTTCTGGCTTGCAGACATAAATGGAGGTAGAATGTTATATTCATAATAAATCAATAAATTTTTTTAAAAAGCTTTTTAAAAAGTGGGTACGAAGAGGAATAATGAAGTCAGATCGGTGTCTGGGAAACAACTCTGAGAGACAATTTGTTCTCTGGCTAGAAATCTCATTCCTAGATGTTTATCCTAAATAAATAATTTCCAAGGAGGTACAGGTTTGTTCACAGGAATATTGTCCATAGGAGTAAAAGTTGGGACGAGTAAATATTCAGTAATAAAAGGCTGCTCAACAAATGGTGGTGGCGTGTTATTAAATATTTATCAGCCACCAAAAAATGATGAAACAGGTAAACATTTACACAGTGCTTCATAGTTTGAATATGAAATGCCCCCCACAGGCTCCTGTGTTGGTGCTAAAGTTTAGGGTGCCTGGGAGGCTTTGAGATCCGGCCTAGAAGCAGGAAATGGGTGCTTAGGGGTACATTGTTAGAATCTAAGAGGAATGGCCTCTCATCTAATTCACAACACAGTTCTAATTTCTCATGTCCGCAGTCTCTTCCCGCTACATCCCTGCCAGCCTTCTGGCCTTTGGCGCTCCCAGCACCGTTCATTAAACCCCATCACAGCGTCTAAGCCTCAGGGCTAGATCTTGTCCCAACCCTTCCATTTTCTCTCTGCTTTCTGCCTTGCCACAAGGTGGGCTGCTCCGCTACACACTCCCACCATGACATTCAGGCTCACAGAAACGGAACAAGCCAACCACGAGGCAAAGGCACTGAAGCAATGAGTCACAATACACCCTTCCCATCTTGAGCCATGCAAACCAATAGTGGCAGGAAGACCATCTCTGTGATGGCACAGCCACGTGGATCCTCAGCCTTTATGGTTATTTTGCAGGAGGGATTTGGTAAAGTTTAACCAGCCTAGAAAAAACTTAGAATACTGTGATGGGGCTTCCTGAGTGATCCTGGAAGCTCAAAAACCAGAATGTGGCCAAGGATATAGACAGAAAAGATGATGTATGTGAAAAATTAAAATTTAGTTGGCAATTAGAATACAGACCATTCCTGTTACATTCTGGCAATGAATATGTCAACATTGTTGTCCATTCTCTCAGATTCTGAGAGAGGCTGAATTAAGTAAGGATCTAATTAATATGGTAGTGAGAGATCCCAACTCAACATTTTTAGACCCCTAGTGACTAGCCCATCACAGAGTGACTTGCCCTTCTGCCCTCTCCTGAGAAACCAGAGACCTCAAGATAAATTTAAAAGATAGCCC